CAACAGCAAATGTAGCAGAAGGCAAGAAATAATTAAAATCAGAGCGGAAATCAATGAAATTGAAACAAAAGAAACTATTGAAAAAATTGACAAAACTAAAAAGTTGGTTCTTCGAAAAAATAAATAAGATCGACAGACCCTTAGCCATGCTAACGAAGAGAAGAAGAGAGAACTCAAATTACTAACATACGGGATGAAAAAGGCAATATCACAACAGATGGTACAGAAAGAAGACAGTGAAGACATCGATAAATTTCTTAAGTCATATGATTTGCCCAGACTGAGTCAGGAGGATACACACAATTTGAACAGACCAATATCAATGGATAAAATAGAAGAAGCAATCAAAAGACTACCAACCAAGAAAAGCCCAGGACCGGATGGGTATACAGCGGAGTTTTACAAAACCTTTAAAGAAGAATTAATACCAATACTTTTCAAGTTATTTCAGGAAACAAAAAAAGAGGGAGCTCTTCCAAATTCATTCTATGAGGCCAACAATCACCCTGATTCTGAAACCAGACAAAGACACCTCAAAGAAAGAAAACTACAGACCAATATCTCTAATGAACCTAGATGCAAAAATCCTCAATAAAATTCTGGCGAATCGGATACAAAAACACATCAAAAAAATTGTGCACCATGATCAAGTAGGATTCATCCCTGGGATGCAAGGATGGTTCAATATACGGAAATCAATAAATGTTATTCACCACATCAATAGACTCAAAGATAAGAACCATATGATCATCTCGATAGACGCAGAAAAAGCATTCGACAAAGTGCAGCATCCCTTTATGTTCAAAACATTAGAAAAACTAGGGATAACAGGAACTTACCTCGACATTGTAAAAGCTATCTATGCTAAGCCTCAGGCTAGTATCATTCTGAATGGAGAAAAATGGAAGGCATTCCCTCTAAAATCTGGAACAAGACAGGGATGCCCTCTATCACCACTTCTATTCAATATAGTTCTCGAAACACTGGCCAGAGCAATTAGACAGACGAACGAAATTAAAGGCATAAAAATAGGAAAAGAAGAACTTAAATTATCAATATTTATGAGTGACATGATTCTATACCTAGAAGACCCAAAAGGGTCTACAAAGAAACTACTAGAACTAATAAATGAATTCAGCAAAGTGGCAGGATATAAAATGAACACACATAAATCAAAGGGATTTCTGTATATCAGCGACAAAACTTCTGAAACGGAAATGAGGAAAAACACCCCATTCATAATATCCTCAAAAAAAATAAAATACTTGGGGATCAACCTAACAAAAGAGGTGAAAGATTTATACAATGAAAACTACAGAACCCTAAAGAGAAAAATAGAAGAAGATCTTAGAAGATGGAAAAATATACCCTGTTCATGGATAGGCAGAACTAACATCATCAAAATGGCGATATTACCAAAAGTTCTTTATAGGTTTAATGCAATGCCAATCAAAATTCCAATGGCATTTCTTGTAGAAATAGATAAAGCAATCATGAAATTCATATGGAAAAATAAAAGACCCGGAATAGCAAAAGCAACTCTAAGCAGGAAGTGTGAATCAGGTGGCATAGTGATACCAGATTTCAAACTATACTACAGAGCAATAGTAACAAAAACAGCATGGTACTGGTACCAAAACAGGCGGGTGGACCAATGGCACAGAATAGAGGACACAGAGACTAATCCACAAAGTTACAACTATCTTATATTTGATAAAGGGGCTAAAAGCATGCAATGGAGGAAGGATAGCATCTTCAACAAATGGTGCTGGGAAAACTGGAAATCCATATGCAACAAAATGAAACTGAATCCCCTTCTCTCACCATGCACAAAAGAAGTTAACTCAAAATGGATCAAGGAGCTTGATATCAAATCAGAGACTCTGCGTCTGATAGAAGAAAAAGTTGGCTCCGATCTACATATTGTGGGGTCAGGCTCCAAATTCCTTAATAGGACACCCATAGCACAAGAGTTAATAACAAGAATCAACAAATGGGACTTACTTAAACTAAAAAGTTTTTTCTCAGCAAGAGAAACAATAAGAGAGGTAAATAGGGAGCCTACATCCTGGGAACAAATCTTTACTCCTCACACTTCAGATAGAGCCCTAATATCCAGAGTATACAAAGAACTCAAAAAATTAAGCAATAAGATAACAAATAACCCAATCAACAAATGGGCCAAGGACCTGAACAGACACTTCTCAGACGAGGACATACAATCAATCAACAAGTACATGAAAAAATGCTCACCATCTCTAGCAGTCAGAGAAATGCAAACAAAACCACCCTAAGATACCATCTCACTCCAGTAAGATTGGCAGCCATTATGAAGTCAAACAACAACAAGTGCTGGTGAGGATGTGGGGAAAAGGGTACTCTTGTACATTGCTGGTGGGACTGCAAACTGGTGCGGCCAATTTGGAAAGCAGTATGGAGATTCCTGGGAAAGCTGGGAATGGAACCACCATTTGACCCAGCTATTGCCCTTCTCGGGCTATTCCCTGAAGACCTTAAAAGAGCGTACTACAGGGATACTGCCACATCGATGTTCATAGCAGCACAATTCACAATAGCTAGACTGTGGAACCAACCCAGATGCCCTTCAGTAGATGAATGGATAAAAAAAATGTGGCATTTATATACAATGGAGTATTACTCTGCACTAAAAAATGACAAAATCATGGAATTTGCAGGGAAATGGATGGCATTAGAGCAGATTATGCTAAGTGAAGCTAGCCAATCCCTAAAAAACAAATGCCAAATGTCTTCTTTGATATAATGAGAGCAATTAAGAACAGAGCAGGGAGGAAGAGCAGGAGGAAAAGATTAACATTAAACAGAGACATGAGGTGGGAGGGAAAGGGAGAGAAAAGGGAAATTGCATGGAAATGGAAGGAGACCCTCATTGTTATACAAAATTACATATAATTACAGTAGATGGGGTAGAGAGAGAAGATGGGAGGGGAGGGGAGGGGGAATAGTAGAGGATAGGAAAGGTAGCAGAATACAACAGTTACTAATATGGCATTATGTAAAAATGTGGATGTGTAACCGATGTGTTTCTGCAATCTGTATTTGGGGTAAAAATGGGAGTTCATAACCCACTTGAATCTAATGTATGAAATATGATATGTCAAGAGCTTTGTAATGTTTTGAACAACCAATTTAAAAAAAAAAAAAAGAATGACCAAACAGACAGGTAGAGGCAGGTGGAAAACCAGAGACCTCATTTGAATATGGATTCATCAACTACTACTACTACTACTACTACTTCTTTAACCTTGTGAAAATTACTTTATCTCTCCACACCTTGATTTTCCTTGTATGCTGTTTACAATAAACATAATACCCATTATCTCATCTTAGAATTAAGTATAGGAAAATGGTTAGCACATGGAGTGTTGGAACTCTTTAAGTGCTCAATAAATGGTAGTTATTATTATGATTAAAAACAATAAACCCTCCTAGGCTATAGTCATTTACTCTATCACTTTACCTAACTATTTCTCTATCAACTAGCTCTTTGTCAAAATGTCTATTTTCTTATTTTCAAACATGCCCTGTATTTCCTGTCTCCCAGCCTGGTTCAGATTACTCTCTTAGTGTCACATAATATCTCTTTTCATATCTACTTGCTAAAATTCTAGCCCATTCTTTCGAAGCATACCACAAAAGCCATCTTTGGCTTTGAAATCACTCAAAATTTACCCTTAATGTGACCTCCTTTCTTTTACATCTTTAAAGGTTTAATCAACTCTCATGGCACTTACCACTTCCTTAGTGTGGGCAATCAAGAGTTAATTATATTCTCCTTGTATTCTCTTAAGTTATCTTCTCAAATTACCTAATATCCCTAGCAATATATTAATTCATCAATTTAATAATAAGGATCTAAAAAAGATGCACATGTGTTTTTAAAAAGGTATGATTTAACCACTATTACTACAAGTCTTTTGGAATTTTCATTTGCTCTTGTTCTACATTGTTTAAATCAATACCTGACATTACATTAAATCCTGTTTACTACACATCTGCCTTTTATATTCCTCACTCTCGCTACTCCTATTGAGAGTTAATTTTCAACCTTGAAACAAATAACACACTGTGCTAAATCTCATTATAATCTGTTCAATATAAGAAATCCAAGTTCTTAAGGCATTTCTACTAATCTATCTATGCTCATAATTCTTAATTTGTTGCACTCAGCAACACAGAAAAGCAAAGCATCCTACTTTCAGCATGACATAGAAGTATTAACATGTTTGTGTTTATTTTCCTTTAATTTCCTGCTCTGCTACACATTAGCTGGCTTTTTTATCTGTTTTATTATTAAATAAACAGTGGGGAAGAAGCAGAGTTACTTAGTTAAAAAAAGCTTTAAACTCCATCAGTCCTAGATTTGAATCTAGTAAACTGCTGGTCTACCTGGATCAAATCTGTTGAACTATATAATCTCAATCAAGTTACTTAATATTTCTGGTCCTCAGTTTCTAGATGTTTGAAGTGGAATTATTACTTAAGAGGTCATTAAAAAAATGAAAAATTAGATAATACAAATAAAGTATGAAGATTGTATGCTAAAATAACATTTAGCTTTTCTCTGTATTATTAACAGAATCTTTTCACATTTGTAAAACAATTTTCATTATCTGTTTGAAGTCACTATCTTTTCACTTAGCCCAACATCTATAAGAGTCAATGCTGACTTAAGTAACACTATCTTTATAAAGCAAAAAATTATTATTGGTTTTACAAATATTGGTTATAGTATATATTCTAGAAAGATCTTTAACCTTAGAAATAACAGAGATAATGAACAATACAAGGAGAAAGTGATAAACAAATGACTGACACTATTATTATTGGTAGGTTATAATTAGATAGAACTGTGCAATAATTTTAAATCCATAATTAACTGGACCAAAAATATACAGACAAAAATATTAAAGGGTAATTAATGTTTCATAGTCTGTAAATTTGATTAATTATTTCTTTACCTGAATCACTTGCTGCAATAACAATTGTCCCACCAGGAGCAAAAGGATCATTGTGCTTCAATGTTTCTACCTAAACAAATTACACAAATCCATGACTAAGAGATACAACATTTCATAGCTGAAACTTAACTTTAACTCTCAAGAAAATATTCTTTACAAATTCTAAATTAATTCAAGAACACAAATATTAGGAACAAATGTTTTCCCCTACTGATCTTCAGTCTTATTAAGTGGAAATGATACATATTATTTTTAAATTAATTCTTGAACTGTGCAACATCCATTCCAAAGAGTACATGAAATGTACATATGGTTTAATAAGTAAGTATTAGATGAACATCCATGTAATAATTTCCCAAGAAGTTGCCAACACCTCAGAAGATGTCACGTGCCCCTCCCTAATTACAACCCCATTCCTCCGCTGCTGAGGTGATTATTACCATGATTTTGGTGGTACTCATTTCTTCATAGCATTGCTACTTGTACAGTTGCAAGCTATTTTAACTATTTGTTCTGAAATAATTTAAACAGACAGAAGAGTTGTAAAGATAACAGTTACCAAACACCCTTCACCTAGCATCCTCTAATGTTACTATTTCATATAATCATAGAACATCTGTTAAAACTGGGGAATTAATATTGGTACAAAACTATAAAGCATGGATTTTATTTGGATTTTACCAGTTTTTCCATTAATGTTCTTTTTCTACTTCAGGATATCATGGTCTATTCAGGATGCACACAATTTTCATAGATTTCCTGGAACTTCATATCATAAAATCCTTTGTTTTTATTTCCTAACTGTTACCTAAAAATAATTCTAGCATTCTGAGCCTCAGAGGAAACAAACAGCTTTCGTTAAAAAGAAAACTGCTGCTTTTGATAATAAACTATGTGAAAGTTTGGAATCAAGTTGCACAATTAGTGGATATAAGAGGTGAGGATTTTACCTGTCAATCAACTGCCCCTATCTCAGTCCAGTTTATTTGTACAACATGAAACTACTGTCTCAAAAACTAAGTCTCCAAATAAAAAGAAAGATACAAACAAGCAAAAAACTCTCAGTCCATCCACAACTATTGAAATTGTGTGACAGATACATGGAGGAGGTTTGTTACTTCGTTTTGAGTACTTTCAAATATCTATAATATAAAGGTCATCAGATAATAAAGCACTCACCTCTATGACCTTAGGCACGTTAAGTTAGTATTTTTTTTTAGTCCCATATTTTATTTTTGAAATGGAGATACCAACACCTACCTTTTTATGTGAAGATCACAAATAATAAATGAGAAACACATAGAAACACTTGGGTCATAGTATATGCTTATTAAAATAGTGGTTGTTATTGCAGATATGTATATACTCAAGAAAGCTTGACATTTAGTGGGAATTTATATTTCTATACAAGATTAATATTCCAGATGTCTCCATTGTTCCTTTTACAGTAATTTTCAATAATATACCAAATATTTCTGGCAAGATTTACTTAAGACTGGTTTTTGGATTTCTAGTTATTTATTTTTAATATCCTGAATGGGATAAAATTTGACTCCTTCTCAAGGATGAACTTAATTTTTGAACACTGTAAGTCAGTATACTCAATTGTTAGTGGTTGATCAAACTATGAATAACAAACCTGAACCAAAAACTAAATGGATTGAGATGAGACAGAATTCTTATTTTCTCCTCAAAACTGGGAATTAAATCCAGGGGACTCTACCTCTGATCTACTCAGATCTTTTGATTTTTCTATTTTTGAATTGCTAAGTTGACTGGCCTCAAACAAATAGTCCTCCTACCTTAGATATCCAAGTAGCTGGAATTATAGGCATGCACCAAGGTTCTGGATGAGATAGAAATTCTTATATTACCCATTAGTAATAATCTAAGGGATGATTCTTTCATCACTATACATTTCAAGAAATTCACTTAGGACAATAGTTATCCACTCAAATTAACAGTTTTAAATCCTCCCACTTACTGATGTATTATTGCTCTGGCTGGATGCACTAAAAGGGTCGTTACTTAAAGTGGCAAAAGGATCAGTAGAAGACTGCTTGAAGAAAGAGTCAGATGCAAATGGATCTGAACCTTTGAAAGGATCACCACCAAATGGATCTAAGAAAATAAAGCACAAATAAAATAAATTAAAAACATCATTACAGTAAACTTCCTATAACCTGAAGACAGGCATCACAACTGCCTTAATTAAAGGACATTTTGAAGTCTTGCAGAATCTAAAATAGGTGATAAGATATAGAGCTTTTCACCTACTAAACTACTTTTAAAGTTAGCACATAATTTTAAGAGATCTAATATTAAGTGCCCTTATTCTATGCTACCATAACTAAAGGAAACAGCAACAAAAACTTAAATATATCCCTTTCTGAGTTTAAAGCTAACAGCCAATACTTTGGAACAGGTTCAGGAAACAAAACTAAACTGTAAACAAGATTGCTTTATTCTAATGAAAAATCCCAGAAAAAGAATACCTTAAAAAGTCCAATACTAAAAGGCAGCAGAATACAACAGACACTAGTATGGCAATATGTAAATCAATGGATGTGTAATTGATGTGATTCTGCAATCTGTATACGGGGTAAAAATGGGAGTTCATAACCCACTTGAATCAAAGTGTGAAATATGATATATCAAGAACTATGTAATGTTTTGAACAACCAACAATAAAAATTTTAAAAAAAAAGTCCAATACTGAGTAATTCTTCAAGATGTTTCCTTTTTCCCCATTCGAATGAATAGGCTATAATCTTAGGAAAATAAAATTATATTCTAACCCTGTAGTATGTAGATTCATTATGCTCATCTAATCTTTAGCTAGAGAGATTAGAGCCAATAGTATTTAAAGCAATATTAAAGATTATTAAAAAGTAAAACTGGGACTGGAGGTATAGTTCTCCTAGCATATGTGAGGTTATGGGTTCGATCTCCAGCACCACAAATACACACACACACACACACACACACAGTACAGCTAACAGTTTATTAAGCAAATTCACAAGAACCTATGACTCTCTTACTGAAAACGCCAGGCATATGCAGCATCTTATTTTAGACTATGGCTTTAAAGCAGCTTCAACTCAATAAATAAGAAGCTTATTTCCTATAACTCTCCAACATTGTTAACTCTCCTAAATACAAAATAAGCCTACAATAAGCAGAATTGAATTAAAGCTAAGATGTAATGCAATAATGTACTGACCAATTTTCCCAAAAGGATCATCCTTGAAAGGATCACCTGGATAAAATAAGGAGAAATCAAAATAACAAAATTTATTCTTGTGGCACCATTACTTAAAGGATAACTTTTTTAAAAAGGGTAACTCTTAAAAAAACTTTCATGTTAAACAAAAGTCAAATTTTTTAAAGCTAAGTTAGTTTCAATAACTCTACCTCCAAGCAAATAAAATTATGAATGTCATTCACCTTAGGAAATATTTAAAATAATAAAGAATTTTTAAAAATAAAAGATAAAGGCTGAACTGAAATACACCTCAAAAGAGACAAATTTGAAACAGAACCTACTATACTTACCTTGATCACAAGCAGAAGTTACAAATGAAGGGGAAGATGGGCACAACAGCATTAATTTTACTAAAAAATATCTACAGAAATGAAGACACTGAGCTTCACTGAAGCAAAGGAGAGAGAGAGAGAGAGAGAGAGAGAGAGAGAGAGAGAGAGAGAGAGAAGAGTCCAGAGGCAAAACCCTTATTTTTATGGCCATTTGATTTCTGACAAGAGTACCAACAATACACAGTGCAGAAACAACAGTCTTTGCAACAAAGTTTGGGGACAACACAACCCCTACACCTCATATCATATAAAAAAAATCTAAATCTAACAGAACTATAAAACTCTTGGAAGAAGAAAAAAATAAATTGAACTTTACCCAATTTAGGAATCTTTGTGCTTAATAGCACATGAAGAACATAACAGACAACATAGAATGCCAAGAAAATATTGCAAATCATATATTTCATAAGAGAATTATTATTTAGAATATGTATAGCTCTCATAAATCAATAACAAAAAGGCAAACCAAATATAAAATGGGCAAAAAGATTTGATGGTCAACATTTGCGAACAAATTTTTGTTTGAATATATATGTTTTCATTTCTGAGTGTATTATAGGTTCATACAATAATTTTTGTTTAATTAGTAATTCTGCTTAATTGGTGAAGGAACTGTCAGACTGTTTTCCAAAGAGACTGCACAGTTTTACAGTCCCACCAGTAGTGTATGTGGGTTGCAATTTCTCCATATCCTTGTCAACACCTGTTATTATCTATACTTTTGATTATATGCATTCTAGTAGGTATAAAGCAATATCTTATTGGGGGTTGACTAGTATTAGGTATTTTTCTATGTGTTTATTGGTTATTTGTATATCTACTTTAGTGAAATGTTTATTTAAATCATTTTGTCCATTTTGCAATAGAGCTGGGCGTTGGGAGATAGAAAGTGACTGCTATTAGGTATGGGCGTTGGGAGATAGGAAGTGACTGTTATTAGGTATGAAGTTTACAGAGTGATAAAAACTTTTCCAAAATTAGATTGTGGGGATGATTATAAAACCATAAACATACTAAAACTATTAAATTATGTATTAAGTTTTTATTATTTCACTTTATATTTTGCAATGCTGGGGATCAAACCCAGGACCTAGATCATACTAGGCAAGCATTCTTGCCACTAAACCACACTCCCAACCCCTGTACATTTTAAATGCACAACTTTTAAATCTTTTGACACTTTATATATATTTATACATATATACATACACACACACACACACACACACACACACATATATACATATATACACATATCAATAAAGCTGTTTTTAAAAAAAGAGTTCTAGCCGGGCATGGTGGTGCAACCCTGTAATCCCAGTGGAAGCTGGGGCAGGAGGATCACAAGTTCAAAGGCAGCCTCAGCAAATTAGCAATAACTAATAACTCAGTGAGATCCTGTCCCTAAATAAAATACAAAAAAAAAAAAAGGGGCTGGAGATGTGGCTCAGTGGTTAAGCACTCCTGTTCACTCCCAATATACACCCTCCAACGCCTCAAAAAAGAATTCTAGTATCTGGGCTCATCTCTGATATAACTTTAAGTAATTTATTCTGCCTTTGTGCCTTAAGTTTCACATCTTTAAAACTAATAATCAAACTAATCAGTTTCACAAGTTAATTTTGGAAATAAAATACAATGTCAAAGAGCTTTGACCCAAGTGATATTTAAAGTACTTTACACTGATATCAACTAATTCTTGGCTAACTTCAGAATGTCTTACCCTTGAGCCCGGTATGGTGGCGTATGCCTGTAATACCAGTGACTCCGGTGGCTGAGGCAGAAGGATTTTGAGTTCAAAGTCAGTCTCAGCCTTACTGAGGCCCTAAGCAACTTGGCGAGATCCTGTCTCTAAACCAAATATTAGAAAAAGGGCTGGGGATGTGGCTCAGTGGTCAAATGCCACCGGGTTCAATCCAGGTACCAAAAAAAAAAAGTGTCCAACCTCCACAATCTCCACTACTTGCCTATACCATTTTTCCTTTGGTTCTTATTCTGAAAAAGAAACATACTCTCTCTTTTTTTTTTAGTTGTTGATAGACTTTTATTTTATTTCTTTGTATGTGGTGCTGAGAATCAAACCCAGCGCCCCACACATGCCAGGCAAGAAACCCCAACCCCAAGAAACATACTCTTAATTAGGGACCCCTAAGACATAATCAAAGATTTAGTCCTGGATTTAGATGCCTGTGGCAGATAAATATTAGCAAACTTAAGACTGTAAGTGTTTCTGTTTTCACTTTCTTATAATGAGTATGCTCTCAATGAAGTCCTAATTCTTACATAGTTTACATATTAAAAAGTCTTTTTGGGTAAACTTAAACTTATAATATTAAAAAATGATGCTTGGGGGGCTGGGGACATGGCTCAGTGGTAGAGCACTTGCCTGGCATGTATGAGGCACAGGTTCGATTCTCAGCACCACATATAAATAAATAAGATCCATTGACAAGTAAAAACTATTTAAAAAAAAATGATACTTGGAGCTGGGGTTGTGGCTCAGTGATAGAGCGCTTGCCTCCTATGTGTGAGGTACTGGGCTCAATCCTCAGCACCACATAAAAATAAATAAATAAAATAAAGGTTTTGTGTCCAACTACAACAACAACAACAAAATGATACTTACTGCCAACAAAAGGATCAGATTGGAAAAAATCCAAGTTTGTATCTGCAACTGGACCTGTCAGTGAACTTGATTCTGATTTAAATGGATCTTCCTAAAAATAATTTTAAATTAAAAAAAAATTTTTAGGAACCAAGGTTTTAAAATAGAACATTTTAAAATAAAATAATGCATGTTTAAATCATACCCATGCTTTACAAAAACAAATATTATATTTTCAGTCATAAAGAACATTTAACACATTAGTGATAAGAGTACTTAAATATAAAATTATTTACCTCTTTTGCATGTCTGTCATTGTCAAATTCAGGACAAACTTTTTCATTAACAGATGCAGGTACCACTTCATTTTCATCAATCACATCAGGTGATATTTCAGGACTACTTCTTGTCTACAAGATAAACAAACAAACAAATATACACATACATATGCATACATACTTTTTATATATTAATATACTTTAACATATTTATTTATATGATTTAGTAAATACATAAAATTTCATATACACTCACACACTTTTTTTTTTTTTTTTTTTGAAGTGGCACTAGGGATCAAATTCAGGTCCTTGCCCTCACTATGTTAGTGCTCTACCATTGAACCCTTCACCCTACTTATAAAATATTACTGCTACAGACTACATTGTCCTTTTCTACCTGGCAGAGAAAACTAACAAAGGAAACTCAAACTTTATTAAAAAACAACAACAAAAAGACAAACACAATATACTCATTGAATGATTTCTTCTCCTATAATCTAAGAAAAATGGTGTCACCAAGCATCAAAGTCACTTAAGCCAGAAGTGTTCAGGTCATCTTTAGCCACTTCCTATTTTGGTTATCCTTCAGCTAAAATAAGAGTCCAAGTCTTGTTCTTTCTACCTCTTTTTCTCAAATTCTTCTTTCTCCTTTTCTTCATCCAGACAGTCACTATCACTCATTATATAATCATCATCTATGATTCAGACTGTAGGAGTAGCCTTCCACCTGCCTTCCTGCCTCCAATATTGTACTCTTTCAATCTACCCTCCTTTATAGTAGCCAAAGTAAGAGTTCTAAATGCGAATCTTATAATGGTCTTTCTGGTTAAAAGTTCTTCAACAACTCTCCACTGTTTTCTTGATTTAGATCATTAGTAAAAAGTCTTACTAATACCAACAGTTTGATGTGTTTAAAGGATAATCCAGTAATCTGACTTTCGTGCTGAAAAGAATATTGAATCATGTATCTATGACTTCATTGTCTAAATATAATGAAGTCTCTAAGTTTTACATCTTTTTTTTTAGAGAGAGAGAGAGAGAGAATTTTTTTAATTTTTTTTTTTTTTTTTAGTTTTCGGTGGACACAACATCTTTATTTGTATGTGGTGCTGAGGATCGAACCCAGCGCACCCGCACATGCCAGGCTAGCGGGCTACTGCTTGAGCCACATTCCCAGCCCTAAGTTTTACATCTTTAATATCTCTTAAATTTGTCATCTTCTCACCATTCCTTCTGTAACTGCTTAAATTTAGGCTAAAACAACTCTCACAGGTTCTCAATAGCTCCTTTGTGTGTTCAGCCCCACTCTCCACTTCTCCCATTTCTAAAAGGTAAATTTATTCTCATTTTAAATTCTTCAATGGTTACTCATGGCAGTAAGATAAATTCCACAATGCTTCAAGATGAAGCTAATTTTCTTATCCTCTGGCCAGGTATGATCTATAAGTCATTTTTTTCCAGTTTGGTCCACACATCAAAATCATGCATAGAATTTGTTTTGAAAATACACGTACCTGGTTCCATTTCAGAAACTACTTCAGCAAGTTTGGGGTAGAACATATTACATGTGTGTTTTGAGAAAGTATTTAAGAAAATGCAGATGCCCACTAGGAGAGAGACTTACCTCTTGCTAATATCTTCCTCACCATCACAAGATGTCCTCAAAACCTCTCATGATTCTAAACAGATGTTTTCTTCTACTTGTATCCATGCTCTACTGATTCTCTGACAGGAATGTACCAGCTTCTTCTTTGCTCAACCCTTATTCACTTGCCAAAGCATTCCCTACAAAACCTTTTTTGAGTACCTTTCAGCTGTCCTATCTGAAAAGACTATGCTTCTTTTATCACTCTTTTAACACAGTGTCATGCTATTACACTATATGCTGCTTAAAGGAAAAAGTTAAAGATACTTTATCTCTATAGCCCTAACATATAGTTGGCACAATCTAAATAACTAGTAAAAATCAATGTCCTCAATATTATAATATTATATAATAAAGAATTACTTTCAGCTTTGAATGAGAGTAACTAAAAAACTTCTGGTATTAGTTTTTTTTCTTTCTCTTTCAGTACTGGGGCAAATACAGGAACTCTCACATGCTAGGCAAGCTCTTTATCACACAGCTATCCCCTCAGCTACTTAAAAAAAAAAAAATTTAAAAAGTTAATATCTAAGTCAGGTTGAGGTGCAACAGCATCTGCTTACTGTAAGATAAATTCTCAACAACTCAAAAAGCTGAAATAGGAGGACTACCTGAGAACATGAGTTTTAGACTACCCTGAGCAACATAGTGAGACTCCATCACACAGAAACACAACACACACAAATTTCCTTTAGAAGTATTGTTTTTTAAAAAATGTTCTACAAGGCCATTAAAATTACATTTCAGGAGCTGGGCAAGTGGTGCATGCCTGTAATCTCAGGAGGCTGAGGCATGAAGATTAGAAGTTTGAGGTCAGCCTCAACAACTTAATGAGACCCTGTCCCAAAATAAAAAATAAAAAGGTCTAGGGATGTAGCTCAAGTGGTAAAGTGCTCCTTGGTTTAATCCCCAGTACTTCCTTTAAAATAAATAAGTAAATAAACAAATAAATAATTTAAAAAATAAATTAAATTACATTTTAATACTAGTTAAAGCTGTGAGTCTTATTGTATCAAAACTCACTCTCTGCTTCTAAAAACGAAATCTCAATAGTCCTCAGGGCATACTAACATATTTATATTAGGTATGATGCCAACAAAAGTTTGATTTGCATCCATCTTTTTTTCTGAAGTTAATTATGAAGGTATTAAGACTCACTGGAGACTCCTGATGTATGGGCTCGGACTCCAGGTTGTTCTGGCCTTCAACCTGTTCATTAAGGTTGGCTGTCTCACTGCTGCTTGTACTGAGGCTGCAATAATCTGTAGCACCATTTACAAGAATGCTGTGTGGACTACTGCACCAATTTGACTGATTATTATGATTTTCCAGCTCTTTCATTTCCATGAGTCTCATTTGCATCTGTCAACACAAAGTAAAATTACAAAACAACTTATTAGTAGAAAGACATGCAACATAAAAATAATTATATCCTTAGATTTGGTCAAAAACAAATTTGCTCTTCACCAGGAGAATCCTCTGGGAATATAGCATGACTTAGAGGAAAGATTTCAGTAATCTCTCTCTAGTACACATGATTTCTTTTTTTGTTGGGGTATTTTTTGAAATTTCCCAAGAATTTCGATTCTTACAAATTGCAAAGAATCTGTGAACTAGCAATATTTTGTGGAGCATTAGAAAAAGAAGGGCCAGAGTACTGGAAGGAAAGATAGCAATATGACAGAGAAAAAGAATACTCAGTGACAGTACTTTTATAATAGAGATACAGAAGTTGAGGGAGAGAGAAGGCTTTGGAAGCAGCTGTACTCTACTGGGAAAGGAGAGTGAAGATAAGGGTCCTATACTATGTAAATGGGGTTAGAGCCCTAGAAAATATTGTCTAAATCTAAGTTGTGCTGAACATGTTAAATAAAGAACACTTGAAGCATGTATTTTTTTTTTCTTTCTTTTCGTGACGGGGTATACAGGGCTTGAACCCAGGATGTTATACCTCTGAGCTACATCCCCAGTCATTTTTATTTTTATTTTATTTTGAGACAGCATCTCCCTAAGTTGCTGAGGCTGGCCATGAACTTGTGATCCTCCTGCCTCAGCCTCCTGAGCCACCGGGATTACAGGCATGCACCACCACACCCAGCTCAACGTGGTTTGTTTTGTTTTTGTTTTTTATGGTGCTGGGGATTGAACCCAGGGCCTTGTGCATGTGACATAAGCACTCTACCAATTGAGTTATATTCCCAGCCCTCAAAGTGTTTTTGATTTCATTATCCAAATGAATTTATACTCCTGGAACAATAATAAGATCCATAAGATAGAATTCAATAAATTGTAATATATTATAAAAGCTAGATGCTATATGGGACCATGAATAGAAGAACAAAATACTAACATCTATTTTTATTTATTTTGCATTACGTTTTTTTAAACATTTATTTATTTATGTATCTTTAGTTTTAGGTGGACACATTATTTTGTTTTTATGTGGTACTGAGGATCAAACCCAGTGCCTCATGCATGCTAGGCGAGCGCGCTACCATTGAGTCACAATCCCAGTCCCTATAATTCTTATTATACATATAGAGCACAATTTTTCATATCTCTGGTTGTATATAAAGTATGTTGACACCAATTCGTGTCTTCATACATGTACTTTGGAGAATGATGTCCATTACATTCCACCATCCTTGCTAACCCCCTGCCTCCTCCCTTTCCCTCCCACTCATCTGCCCTATCTAGAGTTCATCTATTCCTCCCATGCTCCCCCTCCCTACCCCACTATGAATCAGCCTCCTTATATCAGAGCATTTGTTTTTGATATAAGGAGGCTGATTCATAGTGGCTAACTTCATTTGGCTAACTTCACTTATCATTATCTTCTCCAATGCCATCCATTTACCTGCAAATACCATGATTTTATTCTCTTTTATTGTTGAGTAATATTCCATTGTGTATATATGGCACAATTTTTTTTAATCCATTCATCTACTGAAGGGCATCTAGGTTGGTTCCACAGTTTAGCTATTGTGAATTCTGGTGCTATATACATTGATGTGGCTGTGTCCCTGTAGTATGCTGATTTTAAGTCCTTTGGGTACAGACTGAGGAGAGGGATAGCTGGGTCAAATGGTGGTTCCATTCCCAGATTTCCAAGGAATCTCCATACTCCTTTCTATATTGGCTGCACCAATTTGCAGTCCCACCAGCAATGTTTATACTAACATTTATAATAACAAAAAGCAAACTTATAAATATCTCAAAGCAATCAATAGGGGCTGGGGATGTGGCTCAAGCGGTAGCATGCTCGCCTGGCATACGTGCAGCCCGGGTTCGATCCTCAGCACCACATACAAACAAAGATGTTGTGTCCACTGAAAACTAAAAAAAATAAAAAATAAATATTAAAATTCTCTCTCTCTCTTAAAAAAAAAAGCAATCAATAAGGCAGATTCAAAAAGTTTCTATTGAAAAAGTATAGATGGAATTTTACTGGGTAATTTCCATTTTTTCATAAACTGTAATTTTTAAAAATCACTTTTGAATTCCCTTCATTTATTACCATGCCACTTTTCGTTTTTAGCAAACTTAAAAATGAATAATTACTTAATGATCTTTCATAAATCAAGCTCTCTGTACCCTCTATTTTAATTTCCCCATAGGGTTATTAAATTACTGAAATTGGAATTTATAATTTTCCACAGGTCTTTTATACCCAGGGAAAGAACACTACATTGGTTTAGGAGATAGGTGCATATCTAGTCATCTTCTACTACTTGGGTGATCTTAGTCAAAGCAACTTTTTCAAATTTCAGTTTTTCTCTTAATCTATACAGAATAATGACTACCTTCACAGATGATTGTTGTATGGCTCAAAAGATAGAATTCAAAAGAACTCTTTAAAAAGCAAAAGTCTATGTAAATGAGGAATTAAGTACATAAAAGTACCCAGCACAATGCATTTTTTACTATCATAGTACTTAAGTTTTTCTAGCATCTTGTTTGTCCTTTGTTCCTTTTCTACTAATTCACTGCACTTTTTTTTTTAATGAACAATCTTGAGCTCTTTGAGGTTAGAAACTACAAGTTTTGTTTTATATACTTTGTATCTTCAACATCAACCATAACCATGCACTCTATAAGTTTAATATATTCACTGAATGAACATCAATATTGTGCTTTATATATTTGAACAGTGGTTATAAGTGTGTTTGTGTGTGTGTGTATAATCTACCAAGTAACATCGTATTTTGAGTTTAAACAATCTAAAAATATTACACATTTATAAAACACAGCATACAACCTTTATATAATAATAGAGCAGTGGCTTATAAACTCTTTTACTTTAACCCATAAAAATAAATCAATTACACATCTTAATCCAGTAAAGGTATATGTACACATTTGGATTTATCTGTGTGTGTATATGTATACATATACATAACATAGACACATGCATTTATATGATGTGAGTAGATATGTAGTCATACATACCCTCACATATATATATATAAAATACACACACATATTAGTGAAACAAGTTTCATGAAGTTATACTTATCCTGATTATAATTAATGCACCATGTCTCATGCATGCTAGGTAAGCTTTCTACTACTGAGCTACACCTTCAGCCCTGTATTTCATTTAAAATTTTTTTTTATCCTGATCATTATATCAATTTCATGCTCCACTACAACTTTAAAACCATGAAACTAAAATTAAACCCATCATATAGATGAAACAGTGAGAGGAAATACCTGCTTATCAAACAATTTATTTAGAACAGAATCCTTATGGTTAGCCTGAGACAATTAATAGAATCTTGACAAAAATTAGGTTTTCTTTTGTATGGCTCATACACATTGCTTTATTTTCTCAATAATGATTTCTAATATCTTCTTTACTTGTTTATGTTCCTTCCTTTCAAAGAAGCCCCCTTTCTAAAAAGGTCAAAGAAAGGAAAACGAAAAGACAAGTCAAAGATTGGGAGAAATTATTGTAAATCATTTATCTGATAAAGGAATTAGGTCCAGAACATGCTAGAAACTTATAATAATAAAAGACAAACAATCTAATTTTTGAAATGAATGAAAGACATTAATAGACATTTCATCCAAGAAGATAAAAAAATGGCTGATAAGTACATGAAAAGGCACTCAACAAATGACAAGTGATAACTTCTCATCAAGGAAAAGCAAGTTAAACACTATGAGATACCACTTTACACCTATTAGAAGGACTATAATGTATTGGTGACAGAAGAACCTAGACCCCTCATATACTGCTGGTATATGTATAAAATGGTGCAGCTTCTTTGGAAAACAGTTTATTAATGTTAAAGTAAAGAAGTAAAGCACCACTTTATAATATGGCCAGCTATTCCACAACCAAAAGAAATAAAATCACCTACACAAAGACTTGTAGGTGAATGTTCACAGCAACATTAATCAGTATAGTCAACAAGTAAAAAGAATGTTCATTAACTGGGACATTAAATAAATGAAATAGTTTCTAAATATATAATGGAATATCTTCAGCAATAAAATGAAACATAATGTCAACAATACATTCCACAATAGATGAACCTCAAAAATATGCTGTTAAAAAATCACTTAAGATTACATATTGTTTGACTGCATCTATATGAAGTATCCAAAAATGACAAATCTGTAAGAAGCAGAAAGCTAATTTATATGATTGAAGACTGGGGCCTGGGAATGTGGCTCAAGCCGTGGCGCGCTTGCCTGGCAGGCGTGCGGCCCAGGTTCGATCCTCAGCACCACATACAAACAAAGATGTTGTGTCTGCAGAAAACTAAAAAAAATAAATATTAAAATTCTCTTTAAAAAAAAAAATGATTGAAGACTGAAAAAAAAGAGAAGGAGAGATCATTTAAGAATAAAAGAAGTATTTTAAAGCTGGATTGTGATGCTTGTGCAACTCAAAATTTACTGAATAATCACTGATTTATACCCTTAAAACCTGAGAATTAGAGCTGGGATTGTAGCTCATCAGTGGAGCACTTACCTTGCATGTATGAGGCGCTGGGTTTGATTCTTAGCACCACATAAAAATAAATAAATAAAATAAACGTATTGTCCATCTACAACTAAAAAAAATATTTTTAAAAAACCCTTTAGATAAAATCAATTTTGAAAAAAAAACACCTTAGAATTTTATGATATATAAATTCTACCTCAACAAACGAGTTTTTAAAAAACTATTTTAAGAATATCCATTCTTCTGGTAGCATTACCAACCAGGGAAACTATTTTGGGTTATCTTCTTACTGAGGACCTACAATGAAATAAGAACTGTGCTAAGCGACAGATTAAAAAAACAAACAAACCAAAAAACTGTGTAAGCTCCTAGAACAGAAAGGAAAATCTACTAGAAGAGATCAACATATAAATAAATGTGCAGGAAAAAATCTTAACCATTATTATAACAAAGTCCACCAAAAGTTCACCTTCCAGATAAGAGGGAGCAGAGAAAGGAGGAATTCATTATATATAATAATTAAGAATACTGAAAGGGGTTTTAGAAGACCTGGATGAATGTGGCTCCTTTAAAGATTATGTAAGCATAATTTCCTTGGCCGCAGCTTATTCAAGTTCAAATTGAAAGAAGGAAATGACATGAATTCTATGTTCTTATGTAACCAACCATCTTACTATCATGATAACTAAAATGTTAATTCTCCATGTAGTAAAGGCTAGAAATGAAAAAGCAAAGGATTTATACATGGGACCAACCATAAAATTCCAAATTTATTTATAGAAGAAACAATTTTCTAATTTAAAAAAATGAGTTTTTCCCAAACAGAAAAACCGATTTCAAAATTAGAACAATAAGACACTAGGTTATTACTTATAAAAGTAAGCAACACTTACTGAGCATGTATGTTCCAAACACTATACTAAAATACCTCACGGGTTTTGCCTCATTAATCCTTACATTAGCCCTCAGAATTTGGTGTTTTGTTAATTCTCCAATTTTAAAAATGATTCATCTAGTTAGTGGCAGTTCTGGTCCCAGTGTAGGTTGGTCCTCAATAAATGAATAACCCAAAATAGTTATCCTACTGGGAATGCTACTAGATGAATGAATATTCTTTAAAATATTTTTTTCCTTGGGTTTTTTTTTTTTAATTAAAGAAAACCATTTGAGATAAAATTTATATACAATAAAACAAATTTATAGAGGCAAGAAGCAGATTAATTGTTACCTGAGGGTAGGAATGGAGACTGACTAAAAATAAGTATGAGGGATCTTTTGAGAGAGATGGAAATGTTCTAAAATAGAATTATTACATTTTTACAACTCTAAATTTACTGTAAGTCACTGATCTGTTATGCCCTTAAATCCTAGCCCATCTCAATGCAAAGCCCACACTCTTACCCACTGCTCCAATGAGCATGAGATGTACAGGATATATAATTTTAATGTGTAACTGACGACAAGAAACCTATTTAGATAAATAACCAAAAAATAAATAATAAAGTAGGCAGAGAGAGAAAGATCAAAAGTTGACTAAGAGGTCAGCTGACAGTCCAATTGGGCTTATTTATTGCTTTACAAAGACTTACTGAACTGATCTCCTGCTGTGAATCTTGTAGGTGCTGTTGAAGAGGTTCCAGCTGAGCCTTCCCTGACTCCACACTCTCCTCCAATTCTGCTGTTTCTTGTTGCAGGCGACTTAGCTCTTCTCTAGCTTTGGCCAATTCTTCTTCATAAGTGGAGATCTGTGATTCCTGATTAGTTATTTCTGCTTTTAGAGAAGAGATCTATAATATGGAGATGAATAAGAAGAAAGGGGAATTAAAAAAGAGCTGTCATTAAAATGTTAATAATGTACTTATTTCTTTGTTTACTATTTTGGTGTTTTTTGATGTATGGTTTTGGCAGAAAAGGGTAATTGGGGAAAGTATAGAGGAGAGTTGAAGGTATAGATATTTTACTTCCAAACTATCTGGAAAAACTTTATCTTCTGCAACAGTGTTCTTCTATTTCCACTAAAGAGAGCCTGTAATTTCTGATGAACCTTACTCCATTTCCCTCATATGCCAACTGCTGATGAGACTGTCACTTAATGAGAATAATAACAAAAATAGAGAATATTTTCATTTTAAGCCAGGAAAAACAACTCAGGTACAGATGTAGGCAGCAATAAGTAGCCAGACATTACCAGCTGGGCCTCCTCAGCACATTTCTTTCTGACTTCCTTGAGTTGCTCCTCCAGCTGAGCTTTCTGCTCATCCAGTTCATCAAGGAGTTCCTGTACTTGCTGCTTTTGAGCCTGTAGTTTTTGCAGATTAACATTTTCCCTTTGAACTTCATCTTGAAGATCCTGAAATATAAGAAAATTAATATATTATTCTCTTTGGGGGCAGGGAAAGTTTAAGTTAATTTTTAAATCCAACTTAGGAGGGGCTGGGTTTATAGCTCTTGGTAGAGGTAGAGCACTTGCCTCGCACTTGTGAGGTACTAGGTTCTATCCTCAGCACCACATAAAAAATAAATAAATAAAATAAAAAAGATATTGTGTCCATCTCTAAAAATATATATATCTTTAAAAATAAACAAACAAATCCAGTTTAGGAGAAAAAAACTCTTATTGTTTTGGAAGACAACCTCCTCCTCCTCCACCATACCAGGGATTGCACCTGAGATGCTTAACCACTGAGCCACATCTCCAGTTCTTTTTTTTTTAGTTTTGAGATAGAGTCTCAATAAGTCCTTAGGGCCTCACTAAGTTGCTGAGGTTGGTATTGAACTTGTTATCTTCCTGTCTCAGTCTCCCCAGTCTCTGGGATTACAGGCATGCACCTCCACTCCTAGCTTTATATACAATCTTTACTTGAGAACTCCTTCCCTAAATTCCAGATTTAGATATCCAATATGCTTACTCAAATCCATCCTTCAGGGTTGGGGATGTAGTTCAGTGGTAGCATATGTGAGACTCTGGGTTTGATCCCCAGGACTGCAAAAACAAAATAAAATTGAAAATAAAACAAACAAACAAAAAAAGCTGGCCCCGGGCAGCTATGGGCTTCTCTAACATGTTGAAAATAGATCTCCTGGCACTTTCCCCAAAATCTTCTTTAATTTCAATCTTCCCACATCTCAGTTTTTCTAGTCAAGAAAATATGGCGGCGTCTTCTCTCACTTCTCATCTCCAATACATCAACAAATCCTGTTGCTACTTCCTTCAAATAAATGGGATTATTTTTTGTCTTGTCCCCCATACCCCACTGGCCTCATGCCAATTTGGCAAGCCACTTTTATCTTTCTTCTGGATAGCTGTCTTCCAGATGATAACCCTGCTTCCATTCATGCTACCTTTCTGTGTATTTTCAGCACATCAACCACTATTAAAAACCTATGCTAAATATCATACACTCTGAGGCTTGTATGTGGAAGTGAGAAAGGTGGTTGCACAGTAGAGACTAGAATAATGATTACCATAGCCTGGGAAGGCCAGGAAAGCAAGTGGTAAAATAGACAATGAGGTGCAACTGCATAAGAGGAATTACTTTTCTGTTTATTGCATAGAAGGATAACTATAGTTGACAACTATCATTAAATATTTCAAAATAGCTATTAGGATTTTAAATGTTCTACCATAACCAAATGACATGTCTGAGGTGATAAGTCAACTCCCTGACCTGGCCATTTTACATTGTATAAAGGTATTTGAAATGTCACACTGTATGTTAAAAACATGTACAATTACTATATGTCTACTAAAATTAAAAATATTTTTTTAAAAAATGAAACCTAGCTGGGGTGGTGTCCACACTTCTAATCCAAACTCCTTGGAGGCTAAGGCAGGAGGATTGCAAGCTTGAGACCAGTCTGGGGAAATGAGCTAGACCCTCAAAATTTAAAAAGGGCTATGGCTGTGGGTGACATTTGTTCTCCAGTTTTCAGCTCACTGTCCACTGCCTGGTGTGGATGGGTGAAACCCAGGGCCTCTCAGTTCCAGTGTCAATGCTGTTATAGTCTAGGTTCTATATAGACAGAGCCTCACTAATTTGCTGTCTTGAACTTGCGATCATCCTACCTCAGCCTCCTGAGTCACTGGGATTACAGGCATGAACCCCTGCACCTGGCCCTGGCTTCTTTCATTTTAACATACCGTTTTCAACCTTGGCATATAATTATTTTAAACAGCTTTAAAACAGTTTATATAACATAAAATTTGTATATTTTAAGTGTACACTTCAGTAAGTGTAATAAATTTATATACCTGCGCAACAATCATAATTCATCTTTACAATAATTCATCACTCCAAAAATTTATCTTTAGACACTTTGCAGTTAATCCCCACTTCCACCTCATGCTCCAGGCAATTAATAATTTGCCTTTTGTTGCTACAGTTTTGCATTTTATAGAAATTTCACATAAATAAAATCATATATGCAACCTACTATATCTGGCTTGTTATATTCAGTATAACATTTTATAGATTCATGTGTTGTTGCATGTATAAGGAGCTTATTTGTTGTTTCCCTTTTTATTGCTGAGTAGTATTCCATCATATGATGGATATTGCAACTGACAGACATTTACTGTTTCTAGTTTGGGCTATAATGTTTTTGTGAATAATAGTATACAATTATTATCTTATTTTTGGTCTATCTCCCACACAAATATAAGTAAGCAGGAATATTTGTGTTATTCACTGCTGTACTCCATAAGGATTTAGTGAATAATCAAAGATCTAATTCTTTTTTTTGGTACCAGGAATTGAACCCAGGGGCACTTAACCACTGAGCCACATCCCCAGCCCTTTTTAATATTTTATTTAGAGACAGACAAAATATTGCTGAGTTGCTTAGGGCCTCACTAAAATTACCAAAGCTGGCTTTGAACTCACTGTCCTCCTGCCTCAGCCTGCTAAGCAGCTGGAATTACAGGTATGCGCCACTGCACCCAACTTTAAAGATGTTAATTCTTACAGGGTGTGGTGGCACATGCCTACAAATCCCAACAACTCCAAAGGCTGAGGCAGGAGGATTGCAAGTTCAGACCAGCCTCGGCAACTTAGAACCTGTCTCAAAAATCAAAAACAAAAAGGGTTGAGGATGTGGATGAGTGGTTAAAGCACCAAAAGAACTGACAATCTTGTTTTTCATTTTTTGTTGTTGTTGTTGTTTTTGTTTTTTAATACTGGGATTGAACCCAGTGGTGCTTTACCACTGAGTTACATCCCTTCAGCCCTTTTAATTTTATTGAGGTAGATGAAAGCAGTGGAAGAAGTAACTACAGATGTGGTAGAAAGCACAAAAGAGCTAGAATTATAAGGGGAGTCTGAAGATGTGACTGAATTGCCATAATCACATGATAAAATATTTTAAAATATTTTTTTAGTTGTAGTTGGAAACAATTCATTTATTTTATTTATTTACTTTTAGTGCTAGGTGAGTGCTCTACTGCTGAGCCACAACCCCAACCGCACATGATAAAATTTAATGTTCTTAAGGATAAGCCAAAAAAAAAAAAAAAGTGTTTTCCTCTCCTGGCAAAAAAGCTATGATCAATGCTGAAATGAGGGGCTGGGGATGTGGCTCAGGTGGTAGCGCGCTCGCCTGGCATGCATGCGACCCGGGTTCGATCCTCAGCATAATATACAAACAAAGATGTTGTGTCTGCCGAAAACTAAAAAATAAATATTAAAAAATTCTCTCTCTCTCTCTTTAAAAAAAATGCTGAAATGATAATAAAGGACTTGGAATATTACATGAACTTAGTTGAAAAGCAGGTTTGAGAGGACTGACCCCAAGTTTTAACAAAAAAAATTTTTTTAGTTGTAGTTGGACATAATACTTTATTTTAGTTATTTATTTTTATGTGGTGCTAAGGATTGAACCCTATGCCTCACATGTGCCAGGCAAGCACTCTACCACTGATTTACAATCCCAGCCCCCTGACTCTAATTTTTTATATGTATTTATTTTTGGGGGTGTAGATGGACACAACACAATGCCTTTATTTTTATGTGGTGCTGAGGATTGAACCCGAGTCCCGCCTCTACTAGGCAAGTGCTCTACCGCTGAACCATAATCCCAGCCCCCTGACTCTAATTTTGAAAGAAGTTCTATGGGTAAAATGCTCTCAAACGGCGTCATATGCTACCAAGAAATCTTTCATGAAAGGAAGAATTAATCCATGCAGCAAACTTCATTACTGTTTTATGAAACTGCCATAGCTATGCCAACCTTAAGGTACCACCACCCTGATTAGTAAGCCATCATCAAAATCAAGGCAAGATCCTCCACCAGCAAAAAGATTATGACTTGCTGAAGACTCAGAAGATAGTGAGCATTTTTACCAATATTTTTAAAAGTAGGATGTGTACATTGTTTTGTAGATATAGTGCTATTGCACATCCCATAGATTAAATAGTATAGTATAAACACAACTCTTATATGCACTGGGAAACCAAAAAGTTCAAGTGACTCACTTGATAGTGATATTCACTTTATTGCGGTGGACTATAATTGAAACCACCTTATCGCTGAGGTATGACTGTAACGCGTAAATATCAAGTCCACAGTTGTTTTACAGTATTGATTAGGGAAATAATGATAAGAAAAAAATGTCTGTACATGTTCAGTACACATAGAATTTTTAAATACTTCAATTTCAATCTGTGGTTGGCTTAATTGCTAGATGTGGAACTCATGGACAGAGGGCCAACTGTAGCCTGAAAAACTACATGGTTTGAAAAATTTTTATAATTTAGTTATACAATATTTTTAAACCGTCAACTAAAGTAATTTTATTATTTTGGATACATAACCCATTATAACATTCCTTACTTTGTTTATAAAATATTCACATAGTTTATATGTAGTAATATACTGACCCCAAAGAATTTTTTCAATTCCTGGGGGAAAAAGATTTTTCTCTTTCCCTTTAATTAAAGCTATTCAGATCACCTTTCAGCTTTTTGCTAAGGTCCAGTGTAGTATCTGTTCCTACAGGTTTAATATCTGATACATCTTCTATCCCAGACAATACATTAAATATATCAAATGGATTTTTGGAAATAGGAGATAGAATAGGTGCTTGCTCCATCCACTCCATGCACTGAGTGGACATTGCAGTAACTCCAAAAACAGTGCACACACAAAAAGAAAAAAAAAAAAAGAGGTGGAAATAGTAAAACTATTTATCTATCTCCACCAGAAAGTATTCTAGTCTAATTTCCCATTCTGCCTCATTCCCAATTAAAAATCTAGGACTTCACATCTCTAATAATATCTAGTTTTTATGATTACATGTAATTTTGGTTTCTTTTAGTGCAAATCCAATGGAAAAAAAATAAAATGCATCTTTTT